TATCCATTATCATATATATATATATATATGTGTGTGATAATGGATAGATATCATATATCTATATATCTATAGATATAAGTTAGAGAAACGCCGCAAAACACTTACTCAGGCAATTTTTGATCAAAATTAAATAAATAACGTATGTCACTGAATATTCTAGTAACTGCTTATCCCACGTGACTGATAAACCTCTTTAACAAAAAGTTTACAAATATTTTACAGTAGGTACCTCCATCATTTATTTCAACTAGGTGGCCACGTTCGCCCCGATACTTAATATTTGAGAGGTGTTTGCAAACCTCTTGTAGCGCATATTATCATATTCCAGGGTTTAGACGTCTACACTAAGAAAGGTTAGAAACACGTTATTAGTATGTTAGTCTACATCCTGTGAGTGTAGCTATAACCCGTAGTGTTTGTTGCAGGTATCCATGTAATAGCCTTTATTTGTCAGAAAACCTGAATTCCCTACAATGAATTAAAGTTAATGTGATATTTTGACGCGTGTGTATAGACCGATATGACAAAGTTAGGTCCATAAAATTTGACAGGACAAAACAGACTGAACATCCACTTCCCCCAAAATCCGACAAAGTACAGAATATATGATAAAACGGACAAATCCGATGCTGCAGCAAACATACAAATACAGAGTTACATTTTTGTTTTACTTTCAAGAGCTAAAAAACAAATATTAGTAATAAGCTAGCTTTTGGTCGTTTCATCTGTTTCAACTTTGCATAAAAAGTGGCGTATCAAAAGAGAAAAGGAAATAGAGAATTAAAATCAAAATATATGAATGTAAAAAGATATTGATCATTACTGAATGTTACAAAAAGTAACTAATAAAAACAATGTATAAAGAAGGAGAATAATCATTAAACGACACAGATGTTTTGCCAAGTTTTATTTAATGCGATGTCACCGGGTTCTGCTTTTTGCATAACACAAAATTTAATAACTTTCGCAAATTAAGTAGTTTTATGTTGGGCCGAAATACGGAGCAACAGTCAACTAACTCGCAGCTGTAATCTCGATCTGACAGAGCTGTTGACAGTTTTGTTGTACGATGCCAAAATCAAACTTTTCTTAAATGAATTTCATACCATACTCATTAGTATGTTATCTTCGTCAGATTTAGGATTTTGTTTTTGAAAAACCTGACAAGGACTGCAAAGAAGCTCTAAGGAATTGTTATGCCATAGTCGATTCGGTGACATTTGGCCTTACATCTGGATAGTTGCAGGCTGCGGCGCGTGGCCTGAAATAAAAATATATAAAGCAATTATTAGTAATCACCTTTGGTTTCAGTTCTCGTAAGATGTAAAAATTTGAACATAAATGAATTGATACAAATACATAGAATTTCATGGGTAAGCTGTGACATGTTATGTCATGCTATGTCATGTCATGCCGTGTTAGATAGATTTATGATTCAATATCTTGTAGTTACCATGCATTGTGAAGACTTGTCAAGCCGTCCCTTCACATTCCACTTCAACGTTCTGAAGCTGAGCTGGGACCGATCCACCAGGTTGCGAGGACGACAGCTGACTGAAGAGCTGATGGAAGTTGGAGATGATTTCACTCATGCTGCTTAGACAGTCAGTGCCGGAAAAGTAGTGGACTGATCCTAGCAGGTGTGGGCGTCCTGGACGGTACCTCCCTGTCGCAAAAACCATGTTATAATCAAAAACGTCAATCCCGATGTTATAACCTAACTTTTGAAAAAAGTCAATGCTTTGCTTCCTGTTACTCCCAAATGCAAATAAGGGCGGAGAGTGACTTTGTATTACATTATCCTTCCTTAAATTGAAATATGCCGCAGACCCTTTTTATCCTTTTACAACGTTACTGCTTTAATGCAATGTTAAAAAATGTCCGAGAATACAAAAATAAACAGCCGCAGCCCCCGGTGTTTCACAACGTTCCAAATTTAAGGCAAGTTAAAAAAATCCAAAGGTACGAAGCAATGTTTCCTAAGAAAGGCAGGTTCCTACGTGTTCCAAATTCCATGCTGAACATCTGAAACTGAATACGTTTTTTAATCATGTGTCATGATGTTACACAACCAATTATACGTTTAGACTTCTCAGATTACAATTAGTACAGAGGTTTGGTAATGACAGTAATGCAGGTTACTACTTTTTGACGTACAAGACAGCTTCTTACCTGTGCAGTCTGGCCAAGGGCTACTCTGATCTTCCACAAGATCGGAGTCAGCGAACCAATTTCCATCAGCCTGGCACGTGTACGCCTGGGCAGGTTGTATGGCGAACTCCTTGTCTTCCGGACAGAAGACAGTACAGAACATGGCTCCTGTCGTGTCATCCGTCAGTGCGCAAGCCTTGGCTCCGTTGAAGGGAGGATCGTAATCTTCGCTACAGGGAGCTAGATAAAAAAATATCCATTAAATGTAATTTTAGTTATGACACCTTTTTGTAATTACACAGACTCAAAGAGAAAATCAGACATATTTCAAGCGGATTTATTTAACCCTCAACAGAACACCTTCCCGGACTGATTAATCTGTACACCTGGGGTCCGCGCGGACCCCAGAGCAGTTTTTTGCTAATTTTTAAAAATTATCAACATGCTACCAGCTCAATTGTTTTGCAAACTGATGTGGGAACCTCTGTGTCCACATTACATACAAAAATCATACATTTTGAACTTTTTCTATTTTTTGGTGAAGAAAAGAAGACAAGAAGAAATACCCGATTTTTAAACCCATTTCAGAATGAAGGGGCTTTTGAGGCCCAACTTTGATCTCAGATAGAGGCTAAACGGCTTGCGCTAGAAGTATGAAATTTGGAGAACTTTCCTAAAATGTCTCTGGAAAAAAGTTCATATTAGTTTAATACTTGTAAGTTGATGTTTTTTGTGTTGCTATGGAAACGGGTTTTTAGCAGGCAGTTTATTTGAAAATAGAAGTAATTTTGGTTTAAACATAAAATTTTTTATTGAATTACACTTCTTTTCCAATATTGATAACATCTTACATATTTAAATATAAGTTATATTTACATATTTAATATGCATATAATATGCTAATTTGATGACGTCATTGGTCAAAATCCAATATGGCGGACTATATTATTAGCTCTGACGTCATATGACGTCATAATTACACCAAAGTTATTAAAACTTAATTCTATTACTACACCATTCTCTGAAAACTTGGTAGACATACGATGAGTGCATAAAAACATATAAAAACGGAAATAAGGTAATGTATAAGAACGCCAGTGTATCCATTGTGATCGAAAGCCGGCTGGGGTCCGCGCGGACCCCAAAAGAAAATCAGATATAATTTTTTTTATAAATGGTAGAAACGGAATTTTCTGCGCTGTATTGAGAGACAACTTTGTGGGTGACAATTACCTAAAATTTCAGAAAAAAAAATCTTTAGAAACAAAAAAAGATATTACAGAATATATAGTGCTGGGGTCCGCGCTGACCCCAGGTGTACTGTTTAGGGTTAATGCCAGAGCTAGTATGTCTTTATATTATTTTACATCCAGGCTCATTTATGGCATCTGATGATAATATACCACTTACACGTTTGGCATCTCTCTCCCTTAAATCCAGGAGGACACACGCAGGAGTAGGTGTTATCACCATCCACACACGTGCCGCCGTTATCACAGGGTCCTGGGATACAGTCGTCTGCATCTGGAAGTAAAAAAAATGAGAATTGGACATTGCTTTTAATTGGTTTTAGCTTATTCAGTGGGTCGGCCTTTCGTTCGAAAGGTCAAGTAATACCTCTATTCCACATAGACGGCGCTCTCACGGCGCTGTCTCCGCGACCTAAAATTGGCCAGGTCTCCATGAGAGCGCGATGAGAGTGCCATGAGAGCGCGATGAAAGTGCCATGAGAGCGCGATGAGAGTGCCATGAGAGCGCGATGAAAGTGCCATGAGAGCGCGATGAGAGTGCCATGAGAGCGCGATGAAAGTGCCATGAGAGCGCGATGAGAGTGCCATGAGAGCGCGATGAGAGTGCCATGAGAGCGCGATGAGAGTGGTTGAGAATGGACACAGCCTGAGGGTTGTTCAGAACAGTGTCCGGAAGTAATGTCAGTCACGCCCCAAGCACGGAACGAGACAAGGCCCCTGTGCGATACCTGAGAAACGGTTCTGGATATACACTTTGTTTTTCCAAGAACGTCTACTAGTCGAGATTTAAACTAGGATCGAACCTGGATATGCTTCAGGATTATCAAGAACAGTGCCTCATGGTGAGTAAGCACAGTGTTGTATTCATGGCTCATAGTGCTAGTGGTCGGGTCGATCTAATTTCTTGAATATACCACGTGGAAAATGGTATTCGCGAGAATCTAACCGTCCGACGAATGGGTTAAGCATAACACACTGATGGAATCCATTGATTTTGTTAAAAAATGATACAAGGCACTCTGTGACACTATATGAAATTCTGAATCATCTGAGACCAGCGTAAAATGTACAATATACTTTACAAAGCGGGAAACACAAAGCTTCGCCCCCAAAGCACGGAGCGGGGCAATGCCCTTATAATGAATTGTCCAGAACTGAGCCCGGTCAGGCACGGTTCTGGACAGTCTCGCGTGTCCTAGAATGTATATTTATCCCAGACACAATTTGGAAAACAACAACCTTCATTCACTGATATAAAGAGATTTCCAGGCATACTTGATAAGACACACATATAGCAAAACACTCATGGAAATTTCTTTTCGACCAAGCACGTTTTAATGGAACATATAGATTTAGATACCAAAGTGCAGTTATACAGAGCGTTAATACAGATATAAGTTGTAGGCAACCTTGAGAGAAATCCCAAAGCACAAGATATTCTACAATGTGGGGCGACAAAACATGTTTTCCTGCCTAACACAGTAGAAATCCTACACGATTAAAGTGAGGCAATAGTCCTTGTTGTATAATACTGCGGACTAATTTAAATGTGGGCTAGAGTTTCCTAAGATAAGTTTATTTTACACATGGGAGGCGCAAATATATTTGAAGTGCCCGTTTTGTGTATGTGATAAACATGGTTGGCAAAGCTTTACATTAAAGAACTCAAATACCTTAGTCCAATGCACAAGTATTCTCTTCGTTCCTAGCGAGACCTTAGGCTATGGCTTAAAAACATCCTGTTCTGCTCTACATTTGTACCAAAAGACTACAAAAAGGTTTTCTTGTTACAGTTCTTAAACTATAATTTGTAAGAAAACTGACG